CACTTCAATGCAGATACAAAACAAAACATAATCGTAAAGTTTTCGGACTATCATTAAACACTCAAGCATAACAAATATTCACAATCCAGCAAATGGGTGTTCATAATTTCAAGCAGAACCACCAAATAATGCATCCATCTGCATCTCCGTTGTATCATTACCCTGTACAAAGAAAGTGGCTCGAAGTCCTGAGAAGCAACATAACCAACAATCACACCGCGGCATTTGGGTGCTCCATTAGAAATGGTGGGACTACGACCATGAATCCTAGGTATATTACGTCTTGCTACAGTTAAAAGGGATAAGTGCTCAAAATCAAATACATATTCGTGATATAACTTTGGCACTCTTATTTCTGATACATATTTGTGACTGAGCAGATAATCATAGATAAAATCTTTAAAAAAAAAAAATATCACAATTTCAACCCGAAATTTCAATGGCTCTGACGTCAACGTTCTTCAACTCCGCCTTCGGAACAGTGACACTTAGAACTCCATTCTCCATGGCAGCCTTAATCTGATCAACCTTTGCGTTCTCCGGAAGCTGAAACCTCCTCAAGAACTTGCCGCTGCTCCTCTCCACTCTGTACCACTTGTCGTTTTTATCCTCCTCCTCCACGTTCCTCTCTCCGCTGATCTTAAGCACCCTGTCGTCTTCCACCTCCACCTTCACCTCCTCTTTTTTCAGCCCCGGAACGTCCGCCTTGAACACATGGGCTTCGGGGGTCTCCTTCCAGTCGACCCTAGTGTTCACAAAAGCCGAATTCTCCCGAGAAAATTCAGGAAATGCGGAGAGTGATGAGGAGGAAGGGAACGGGAAATCCTTGAAAGGGTCCCACAGATTGAGGGAGAATGGGTCGAAGACGCTGCTGCTTCCTCGTCGGGAGTTGGGAATTAGCGACATTCTGAAAAACCGATGGGGTTGGTTTGGATGCAGAGAAATTTGAGAATTATTACAGAAATATTGCTTTTGCTGGACTGATTGCAAAATTAGCGGATTTGATATATTTATAAGGAACCGAAGAATTTTCTAGAACAGACTTGAGGATGAGGCTGGAAATGTATGTGTGAGTTTCTCGAACTTTCTAGGATGCTTGAGAATAATTGGAACTTTCTTAGGACGCTTAAGAATACTCCGACGTTTGTGTGAGTTACTCACACAACACGGTTGACTTCATGATGATGAATGGTGGACCCAAAAACCTAAGTGTGGGGGTTGTATGGGCCATTCGATTTAATCGGACAGTTAAAACTGAAGATACTGTGCAAGTTATTATTTGGACTTATTGATAAATAATAATATTTACATTAAATTAACAATATCAACTAAATATCAATAACATTTAACATCTCATGAAGTAGCTTATCTAAAGGTAAAGGGAGTTATAGCCCAAACAAGCAAATTACGTACCAACAGTTAAGTAATATGATGGTCACTTATTACTACATTTTAATGGTATTTTTAGTTATTTGTGAGTAAGAGGTCTTAGGTTCGATTCTCATCAAAAGCGAATTTGAATCATATTATTGTTTAGGGTAAACTGTCAATTTAGTTCCTGAAGTATCACCTTAGTGAAAATTAGCTTCCTAAACTATTTTTTTCAGAAACATTAGTCCCTGAAATATAAAAATCTACCAATTACATCCCTAATGTTATATTCGAAGCTACTATATTCAATTTTTCGTCAATTTAAGTTATATTACTTGCATGCGATACACATTGGAGGGTAGATTGGTAGTTTTTCATAAAGAAATAGTGTATGGAGTTAACTTTGAATGAGAAATTAATAATGTACAAAATAATACATAAAATATTATAAAACACACATAAAAGGATCTAAGCCTAAAAAGAAAAATCATCCACAAAGCCCAGTCAGTAAGGTTCTATACGCCATAAGATTGAAATAAAGCATTTTATTGTGCACCATAAGATTGAAATAAAGCACTTTGAATGAGAATGATACCTTTTTTATGGCTAAATCACCGTGGTTTGGCAGGAAAAAATGGCGATTTAGCCATCAAAAAAGGTACCATTCTCTTCGTCTCGTCGAGAAGTATGATTTTCGTTTTTGAATAACTTGATTTCGTTGAGTATTGAATAAGTTATGAACGTTTAAAGTTTACCCAGTTTCTGGCAAGTTTTCAAGTTTTCAAGTTTTCACTCGAACCAGTCAACTTTGAGGCTATTTTTCGGCCATCTCCGGCAATAATTGGGCTTTGAAATAGGTATAATCCTATTCTATAATTTCCTATCTTCAATTTGATATATTATGGGTCTAATTTGGTTAAGAAACGATTGAGTTACGAAGCTTTGAAAATTGCCCAAACTTCCTCCGGGACACTTAACGGAGTTTTTAATGGAATGACCAAAATGATGGATGGTGGAAAATCTCAGGGACCACTTTTATCGTTTTAGAATCTCAGGGACCAAAGTGATGAGTTATGCAAATCTCATGGACCATTTTGGCGATTTACCCAAAATTTAATGAAGGTCTGACATTGCAGAGAATTCATAAATTAATGTATGACATTGTAATGTTTAATACATAAAGTATGAAATTGTAGTTCGACCCATAGTTGATGTAGTTTTGTATAATTTATCTTCTTCTTTTTCAAAATGTTGCTTATCCCCAACTCTCAACAAGGCAACAACATCTTCGACCAATTCTCTCTCAACTTGTGTGACCCTTTCAAGGATTTCCCATTCCCTTCCTCCTCATCAATCTCTGCATTCCCTGATTTTTCTTGGGAAAATCGGCTTTTATGAACACTACAGTCGACTGGAAGGAGACCCCCGAAACCCACGTGTTCAAGACGGACATTTTGGGGCTGAAGAAGGATGAGGTGAAGGTGGAGGTGGAAGACAACAGGGTGCTTCAGATCAGCGAAGAGAATAACGTGGAGAAGGAGGACAAAAAACGACAAGTGACATAGAGCGGTAAGGAGCAGAGTCAAGTTCTTGAGAAGATTTCAGCTTCCGGAGAATGCAAAGGTCAATCAGATTAAGGCTGCCATGGAGAATGGAGTTCTGAGTGCGATCGTACCAAACACAGAGGTGAAGAAGCCTGACGTCAAAGCCGTTGAAATCAATGGTTAATTAATAGTGAAATAATAAGATTATGAATGTTGTGTACTTAGGAAATAAGATTATGAAAAGAGTGATTTGTGTAATTGTTTGTAAAATAATGACTTGTGCGTAGTTAATTTGATACAAATTTGGATTTACGCGTTTGAAAATAATAAAATTTTTAAGTGAGGATAATCGGAAAACAGCTTTTGTAGTAAAAATTTAGATTTAAACTTTTTGGTAAAGTTCATTAGGTTTCATATTCAAATGTGAAAGTTATATTATTTTTTTGTTACTTGTCATTTCACTCTATATTTTTTCACGCGGTACCATACCATTGCCAAGCCCCTTTCTCACTTCTCCCTCTTCGTCTCTCTACACCTACATCCCGTCTTCTCTCTCCTCTGTCTCACTTTCCATGCGCAAAACATTTTTGTGAGTTTTTAGATTTTAAAGCTCTGATTGGATCAGTTTGAATGAAAAGTTTTAACCAAGCTTCTAAAACTGGAGAAAGGATTTCTAGGCAACAAAAGGCAAGACCCATGGCGTACAATTGAGATTTTTTAAAAAATGGCTTTGAGATTTTGTTGGTTAGGATGTCCTTCCCTCAATTGTGAGCAGCTCTTAATTTGCTTTCTTCGCAGGCAGGCGAATTGGATACAATAGTATGCTTTTGAAGGAGTTTCTTAAAAAAACACTTTCAAACAAATTTGTATAGAATTTATATGCTACGACTAATAGTAGCCCTACTATTGTTCGAAATAGATTACCAATTCTAATTGTGATGTTTGTACCGTAAAATAATGTGATGCCTCGAACGAATGAGGATGGCTCAAGCCATGTATTGTGCCTTGAGAATGTGGGGTTGGGAAGCAATGCATCCAATTTTTCTTTCACTTTATCCTTCTTCTTTTTTTGTTAAAGAAAGTACCATATGGTTCGCAAGCAAAGTATCCAAATCTTTTTCACTTTTTTCTTGATAAAGAGTAATACAAAATGGGTTCGAAAGCAATGCATCCCATTCTCTTTCCCTTTGTCTTTTTCTTGTTAAAAAAGAATGAAAATACCTTACTTCAGAATCACCTCCTCTTGAGGTAATGCTCGTTAAATATTTTTTTTTGCTTCTCTATTTATATTGTTAGAGAACTCTTATTAACCTTTCCCCATTGAAGTTATCTGCTCATTGCATAGCTGAGGTAACATAATATGTCCTCCTTGTGCATGATACCATTCAACATTCATATTTTCTAGCAAATTTGTGAAGTAATAATGTCAGTACCAAACACATGAGTTGTTGTTGAATAAGGCATAGATTTCAGAATTTCACTTTTACTCTAGCGAACTGTTGCATTGGGTTGATTTACAATACAGGTACGTATGTACATCTTGGAAACTTTATTTCTTTTCAATATTTGTTGTTTTAGGTGTTTATTTTTACCCATGTGTGACTAAGAAACAAAAGTGTTGGTTTTACAATATATTTTCTAGCAAATTCGTGAAGTACCAGATCCAGCATCAGACATATTGTGTTGAACAAGGCATAGATTTCACAATTTCTTTTTTTTCCCCTACCGGTTAGTTGCATTTGGTTGATTACAATACAGGTACGTATGTTCTTAGAAACTTCATTTCTTTTCAATATTTGTTGTTTTAGGTGTTTGTACTATATGTTTATGCATTTTGATGTTCATCCACGTCAACTGAAATTTGAGCTAATCCCCCCCTTATAATCGGATTTTTACTTTTCTCACTCAACACAAAAAGTTTGAAATCACGTCTGCTATATGGTGGTGAAATGTAAACTATTAGAAATTTGTATGCTGAAAAATAATAATGAGTAAATAAATATACACATGCACTGAAACATCAATTGAAAATATAACTTTACCCCTTGAAATTCAATTTTCTTTAACTAAAACTCATCATAGTATATTTTCCTAACAAATACTCATTGACTTTACCTCTTGAGAAAAAAAAGGGCCTTCGGGTTTTTTACATATATATATTTTTTTTTCACTTCTTCTATTTATATTGTTAGAAAGCTCTTATTAACTCTTCCCCGTTGAAGTTATCTGTTCATATATTTGCATTGCTGTGCATCATCTTTCCTCCTTGTGCATGCTAACATTCAACATTCAAATTTTCTTGCAAATTCGTGAAGCACCTCTACCAGGACCAGACATATGATTTGTTGCTGAACAAGGCATAGATTTCAAAATTTTAATTTTACTCTGTTGGACAGTTGCATTGCGTTGATTTACGATACAGGTATGTAGTACTTCTCGAAAACTCTATTTTTGTCCAATATTTGTTGTTTTAGGCGTTTGTTTTTATCCTGCTTGACTAAGAAACTAAAATGTTAGTTTTACAATCTAGTGCCCACCAGATATTCTATTTCAGGATCCAGCTCAACAATTTTATTGATTAGATTTTGACTTCACACAATTTTTTATTTTTAGATGTTTAAAATATCCCTAGTAACTTATGTCAGATTAAAAACAAATTTTAATATCATGATTTCATTGCATATTAATAATAAAAGTATATGATTCTAGGGTTTTCATTTGTTTTATTTTATTTTTTTTCCTTTTTAAATTCCTTAGTTGATTTTCAAATTTGCATAAATTAGGATTTTTTTTTTTTGTTTAATTTTTCCGTTTTCAAAATATGGGAGCATTAGTTACCAACAAAATATAAGAATGTTATTTTTTTTTCAAAATTATTTAATTATATTCTATATAAATATGGGTAAATTATTTTACTACACATATATAATAACAATAAAATGTGCTTAATGTATGTAATAATACATGCAAAATAATTTACCTACATAAAGGATGTGATTTGGTTCAAGTTTATTTTACCTACATTTCACATATAGATATGGGGAAATTATTTTATGTAGATTAAAGTACCTACTTAAAGATGAAGAATGTGAATTGGTTCAGGATTTAATTTACAATTATTTACTATATATAGATATAAGTAAGGGGAATTTTGATCTAGGTGCAACATCCCTAGCATTTAGACTTTTTTATTAAACTATTTTCTACAATTTTGGTGCCACGTTTTCTAAAATGTCCTATGTTTGAAATTCAAAATTACATGAAGTGCCATTGATCCACAAATTTATTCAAAAAGTAGCTCCGAAATCTAGCCTTCTTCAAACCAAATTTATTATTTTTATTAATCCAAAACAAAGACACATATTATTAAGTTATCAACCAATGATATGTGCCAAAAATTAAAACTAAAATAACCAAAACTAAAATAAAACGTACCATAAACTAGAATTAAACGTACCAACACTAAAACTAAACGTACCAATCAACGATATATACAAAATAATTCTCTCACTAAAATGTATACATAATAATTTCAAAATATAAACATCCACCATTTTCATTATCTTGAAGGTAAAATTATATTTTAATTTTAGGAGAAAAAAATATTTTTTACGAAGAAATTATAACAAAGAGATCATTTGATAGGCATCAGGTGGGACTTTGTGGCAAGGTTTCATATGGTTTCGGGTTTGAACTACGTGATGCTTAAGCCTTACGTATGTGTCATAGAGGAAAACTAACAAAGATCTACACAAAACTCAAACAAAATATAAAGATAGAGAAAAAAATAGATAAGTTTTATGGCTGGGCTCAAAACTGTCATAAATAGTGGGCGATGGAGGAAGGAGACTTGAATTTTGAAAAGAACAATGAGGGCTGCTGGAAAAAAAAATAATAATAAATAAATAAATAAATAAAAACTAGAGGAGGTGTGGGGTCTATGATAATGGGATAAGGATGAATGAAAAAACAATAAAACAAAAATTTAAAGAAATAAAAGATTTGAAAAAACCCAATATATCACGTTACTTGCTGTATCATGTAAGTTTGACAATAAGTTTAGAATAATGTCGTTCAAATTCGCTTTTGGCGAGAATCGAACATAAAATCTCTAACTTACAAGTAAATAGAAATATCACTAAACCGTAATAGTAAGTGATAATACAACTTAGATTTAAACAGGACAAAAATATATGATTATTAATGTTGTGTTGGGGTGCTTCTTTGGTTTAGGCATCAGAGCACTGAGCGCGGGACTTACAAAAGCCACCAACAAGGAGAAGCATTTCGGCCGTTGTCTTTGATTTCAGAAGGAAATGGAAATTATAATTGCAATTGCCTCAAAAATTGGAGAGTCCTTGGTCACACCAATAGGAACAGAGTTTGGCTATTTGGTTAATTACCATTCCAACCTTGAAAGTCTTAGGGGTGAGATAAAAAAGCTTTTTGACAAGAAAGATGGAGTGCAGGGATTGGTAGATGCTGCCAAAAGGAACGGTGAAATCATCAAACCTGATGTTCAGAGTTGGCTAAAGAATGTGAACGACGACATGGTCAAAAAAGTGTTGCAGTTTGAGGATGAAATTAACAAGAAAAGGCGATGTGTGTATCGATGGAGCTTGAGTCGGAGAGCCTATAAGATTAAACAAGAAGTTCTTCAGCTCCAAAACGAAGGAAGATTTGAAAATGTGGCCCATCCTGCACCTCCACCAGAGATATGGTCAACATTTGAAAATGTTTTTAAGGATTTTAAGTCCAGAATGGCAAACATGAATGAGGTGATAGAGGGTTTGACGAGGGAAGAAGTACGACTGATTGGGATTTGTGGAATGGGGGGTGTGGGTAAAACCACAATGGTAAAAGAAATCATCACGAGATTGGCAAAACTGAACCTGTTTGATAAAATTGTAATGGCAACTGTGTCTCAAAGTCCAAGTATTAGGACGATCCAGTCGGAAATTGCAGAAGAAATAGGTTTGGAATTGAAGGAGGAATCCGAGTCCGGAAGAGCACGAAGGCTACATGGGAGACTCATGGAAATAAAGAGGATCCTGATTGTATTAGATGATGTCTGGGCAGAGCTTGATTTTAAGGCTATAGGACTCCCTTCTGGAGATGCTCATAAAGGGTGCAAAGTTTTGTTGACATCACGAGATTCGGACGTTTGCAACAGGATGCGAAGTCAACAAATTATTGCAGTCCCGATTTTAACAACAGAAGAATCACATGAGCTCTTTCGAGAAATGGTGGGTGAATCCTTTAATGATCCTGATTTACGTTCCACTGCAAAAGATGTATTAAAGGAATGTGGAGGTTTACCTATTGCAATTGTAACTGTTGGAAAAGCCCTAGAAAAGAAAAACAAACGTGAATGGGATGATGCCCTTAATCAGTTGCGAAATTCTACCCCAGTGAACATCCCTGGAGTGAATGACAAAGTTTATTCTAGCATAAAATGGAGTTATGATAGATTGGAGAGTGATGAAGCCAGGTTATGTCTTTTACTTTGTTGTTTATTTCCAGAAGACTATGATATTCCAATTGAATATTTGGTTCGATATGGGTGGGGTCGAGGATATTTTAGCAGCTGCGTTACTTTGGAAGATGCAAGAAATAGAGTGCATTCTTTGGTTGGCCAACTAAAAAGAAGGTTTTTGTTGCTAGATAGTGGCAAGAGTGAGGCTACAAAAATGCATGACGTAGTTCGTGATGTTGCCATATGGATTGCTTCAAGAGATGCACATGGATTTTTGATAAGAAGTGATGCTGAAAATAAAGGGTGGCCAAATTTAGCTACATATGACCATTACACTACAATCTCACTTGTTGGCGATTTGGAGATTCAAGATGGTTTGAAATGCCCAAAACTTGAGCTTCTACAGACGATGGAAGGACTTTTTTCAGAAGGTAGCATGGACAACATTTGTAAGGCGATGAAAGAACTGAAGGTTTTAGCTTTGGTGCAAATGAAAAACCGAGGCTCATCAAGCTCACTAGGATTACTGAAGAACCTGCGGACCTTGACCCTAAATGGGTCTAAATTTGATGGCATGTCTACTGATGTTATTGGGAGTTTGGAGAATTTAGAAATCCTCAGCTTTCGGGATTGTGATTCCATGCGTGAGTTGCCGAGGGAAATTGGACGACTTAAACAGTTGAGGTTGTTAGATACGACAAACTGCAGGAATCTTGAGGTGATTCCACATGGTATCTTCTCCAACTTATGTAGACTTGAAGAGTTGTATATGATGGGTAGCTTTAATAAATGGGAAATTGGAAGAGGAAGAGAAGATAAGGGGATGGCAAGTATTTCTGAGGTGATGTCTCTGTCCGATCATTTGAAGGTTCTAGCCATAGAGATTCCCAGTGTCATCCACTTGTTGCCAAAAAACATAGTCTTGAAAAGCCCAACAATAAGATTCGGTATATGCCCTGCAAGACGGACAGAAGCAACTTATGCATTCAAAGAATGTTTGAGGACAACTTATGCATTCGAAAATTGTTTGATGATTGAAGAAAGTGATGCAAGGGAGTTGGAGGAGAGTCAAGCAGTTAGACTTTTGTTGAAAAAATCTAAAAAATTGTATTTGTGGGAGGTTAAGAATTTCTCTGTCCTCACTGATTTAGACCAAGAAGGATTTCAAGATTTGAAAGAATCTTTGGATATGTCCAAATATCGAGTATCTTGCAAATGGAACAAGTGGGTTTTTGACCAACCTAAGAGTCCTTCGATTGCAATTTTGTGGTGTCTTAAAATACGCCTTTTCATTATCAGTAGCAAGAAACTTGGTATAGCTCCAGAAATTAAATATTATTGGATGCAATCAAATGGAAGAAATTGTGTCGAAGCAGGGGAGGGAACATGAGGGGGAAGCCGATATGATATCTTTCCATAATTTAACCAATTTAACTCTCAAGGTTCTAGGGAGTTTGGTTGGTTTCTTCCAAGCCAACAAGCTACACTCCAACCAAGAGGTATGTCCCACTCTCCAATCTCTATGATATGAAATTTGAAATTGTTTAACTGATAATGATTTTTCTTTTTCAGGAAACAACGGCAAGGGTTGAGCATCAATCTGCAGGCATATTTGAAAAAGCAATATTTCCATCAAAGTGCATTTCATGGTTTCCAAGTTTAGAAGAGGTAGAATTGGAAGATATGAATTTTGAAGGCGTGCTATTTGATCTGAAAATCCATGGCCAGACAACTCCAATATTTCCCCAGTTACGTAACTTGGAGATATGGGCTTGTTCGTTTACACACTGTGGAAAAACATTCTGTCTGGATTTCAGGGCTTCCAAAATTTGAGATATTTGATGATATTTAGTTGTTCTGGTCTAAAATATGTGTTCTCGCATTTAATTGCCCGAGAACTTTTGAATCTTGAAGAGGTAAAGATAATTGGCTGTCCGGACATGGAAACTATAGTCAGAATCACAGAGGAAAATGAAGAAGAGGCGACAAAATACATGATTTTGTTTCCGAAACTGAACACATTTGAACTAGAATACCTGCCTCGTCTCACAAGTCTTTGTCCAGAGGGATTTACATTTCTGTGCTCATCCACAAAAAATATGCGCGTGAAAATTTAAAGACATTGGATGCTGTAATTCCACAAAGAAAGAAGTTGGAGAATAACTTGAAGAAGGATTCAACAAGTCGTGATTTCAGCACTTCTCCAACACGTTCATCGAATTGGTGCCCTGCTGGATGTGGATGCGCACCATACTCAAGACCAAACGCCCACCGCCCCATTGAAATATTGCCACGTCCAATTAATTTGGAGGTAAGCTTTTAAATTAGGTTCAATTAACCTCCATAAGTACAACTTTTAATTAGTATTGTATCATCTTGTTGATCGTGTTTAATTTTCCAGGTTACACCAACTAATCTTGAGGACTCAAATGATGATGATAATCTCGAAAGTCTTATTGTACGTGAGTGTGTAAATCAATGGAAGTGATTTTCCAACTCAAGGGACCGAAGCATGAAGAAAATAGTCACTCCGTTGAAGCATTCAATAAATTGAGGTTCTTGAAGTTATATACATTGCCAAGTTTAACGCGTGTTTGGGAAACGGATAGTTCACAACCGATGTTGACAGGAAGCAGCTTCGGAAACTTGAAATCGCTGAAGGTCGGTTTTTGCAACCAGTTGAAATACTTGTTTTCATCGTCCACAGTCAAACTTCTTGTGAGTATAGAGGACATAGAAGTTGAATTCTGTGAGAAGATGGAAGAAATCGTTGCCGCAGAAGAAGAAACTGATGAAATAATTACGTTACCTAAAGTGAAGATCATGTGGCTTCGAAGTCTGCCAAAACTCAAGTATTTTTGTGGTGAAGCTTATACTTTGAAGTTGCCGTCTTTGGAGGTCTTGGTGGTTACTGACGTGCAAAACTTAAGCCTATTCGCTCCAAAGCTTATTGCCACACATCCCCGATTGCAAGTACGCACCGCGTTGGGAGTGGTTGAATGGAAGGGGGACCTCAATGCCACTCTAAGGAATATTTTACGTCACAAGGTATGCTTTAATATAAGGTTTTTTTAATTTCCAATCATTTATGGCAACACCACAAAAATTTTGACAACAAATTTAGGCAAAGCATAATCAACAGTTCAGATTTAGTTTGACGAAAGTGTAATCAAAACTTAGTCAAAAACTATATACACACACACACACACATATATATATATATATCTGTATATATGTATGTGCGTATGTGCACACTAGAGTGTATTTAGATATGTTTTTCTTCTTTTGAAAACTCAATTATATCTCAAGAAAACTTCTGTCTTTTATTTCTAACACAGGAAGGGTGAAGATGATGAAATCGACAGGGAGGACGAACACAATTAATTGATCAAGCACAAAGGTTAACATGTCTCCATCTTCAACTTCTTCTAGGTTTAGTAAAAACTGCTATTTTCGGAAACAAATATATACAATAAGCATAACCGTTTCAACTTATTTGAGTTTCAGTGATTTCTAATATTCTCCAATGCATGCAGAACAACAATTCAAAGAAGGTTGTGGCTTCAACAATTCGTTTACTATCTCATATGTACAAACCAATAAAATGTCATTTGTTGCACCAGACTTTCATTCCAAAAATACTATTTGTGTTGCTTATTTTATGCATGTATGATAAATTTCGAGTGCAATTGTTACTGTTTGTATCTAAGTTCGCATTATTAATGTTTGTTTATTTGCCCGAAGAAATGAGAAATGCTTATGTAAAAATAAATGAATTAAGATTAAAACAAGAAAAACTTTACACTACTCAAACTTGCAAACACTCAAACTACAAGCATTATGAATAAACACGGAATCAGGCTACGCAATTGCCTTCATCATAACATGATTTTGGCCCCCATTTTTCTAATTTCCTACCACATTTTCACATTCTTTCCATGAATTTTATAATACCTATGCAAAAGAGTTCAATCTAGGGGCTCCAAAAATATCACAGATAGAACAATTAACACAAAAAGGTCGTACCCAGTGCACAAGGCTTCCGCTTTACGCAGGGTGGGTCTGGGAGAGGTGAATGTCGGCTAGCCTTACCCCCATTTATAAAGAGGCTGCTCCCAAGTCTCGAACCTGAAACCTACCGCTCTCATGGGCGAAGGCACTTGCCATCGCACCAAGTGCGACCTCTTAGAACAATTAACACAAATCAAATAAAAATTTGAAATCAAGAATCGATCCCAAAACTGAAAGTTGAAATTTTGGAAAAGAACTTACATCGGAGGACAGCCCACCAGGACAGGATCATTTATACCTCTTGGGTCAAGAATACTGGCAGGAAAACCACGGTCACCGTTTCTTTGATCTGAAATTCAGGAAACTTGGCTACGAATCTATAGAAACTAACTTGGGAGTTGGAAAGAGGACGGAAAGAGGAGTCTGGATATGTAATTTGACGGCCGTTGGTGACCGGTGGACGAAAATAAACTTCATGCGAAAACAAGACCAGATTGAGGTAAGAAAGAAAAATACATAGGCAGAAATAACATGTCAGTCAGGCAAGACAAGTAATTGCAACCATAACACAACACAATGAAGAAACATACCATGAGGATTTTGAACAAACATAATGAAGTGTAACCAAGAGCATACAAATATCAAAAATATAGAAAAGAATGCTATACAATCACTATAAGTGATTTCAAAGGCCATCTTCTATTTCTGTTTCTGGGAAAAAGTCATGTCGTCAAGATATCATTCCATTTCCTTACCATGATGAGTAAAATGAAATTTGAACTTGCTTGCTGTTCTTGCATATCTTCTCCTCATCCTGGTTACCAACCCAGCAAGTCTTCACCAATCCATCTATGATGTATGTACGTCATTGTAATATCATGTGATGCAGCTTACTTACTACTAGATTATATTTCCTGTAGCCTAAGTTTAGATATTTCCTTTGGAGAGGGTATAGCGTGCAAGGTCCTAAGAACTTTACCAAATTATCATCCTTCGAGTATAGAAAATCTTCCAAATGTATAAACGAAATAAACTTGTGACGGAACCAAAGAATGAAAATGCTTCTCATCATTTACTAATCCATATGCATAATTTAAACATTTTCAACGTAGGAGCTCAATTCTTGTATACAGACACACTTCCTTTAGCTTGCATTGGACCTCGCACTTTCCACTAATGTAAATGCCACATCAAAAGTGAAAGAGCGACTCCGGAAACCAATTACATCCATGTGCTTGCACTTCAATGCAGAAACAGAAACAAAACATAATCCTAAAGTTTTCGGACTATCATTAAACACGCAAGCATAACAAACATTCACACAATCCAGCAAATGGGTGTTCATAATTTCAAGCAGAGACACCAAAAGTCAAAGAAAATAATATAAATTAAATCTGAAAATTTTTGTACTCAAGTATCTCCCTTGATCTTGAACTTAGTCTCAGCACATTGCTTATGAGCAGCACCCAAATCCCCCTTGCAAGAACACCCCAAGTCAATCGGGACCCAGAGGCAGGGTCGGTCGGTCCCACCACCTCCCTCCAAACCCAAGTCATTCCTGCAATTTCTCTCAACTTTTACTCAAATGCACCACCTTCTTCACCTCCGAAACCCCACTCTCTCCACTGAACAACACTGGCTGTCGTCAGAGCCATCTGAGTCCGACGACGCGCCACTGCCTCCGGTGGCCAAACGGCGGCGGTGGTGGATTGTCTCGGGAGCTGACATTCGTGAAACCCAGAAAGAGAAATGGCGTGAAATGGTGAAGTGTTAAAGTTGCGGCATTCAGAGATCAAACATGGTGGGGTTATAGAGCAGGTGGAGATGTTTTTTCTCTATCCTCAATCAAAATATCAATGTCTCCCTCCTCCCTCGATCACTGTCTTTATTTGTGTGTCAGTTTCGAGCAATGGCTTTGCTGAACGAGAGAGGGAGAGGGGAAGGAGTTCCGAAGCAAATTATGAGGAGGGTGGTGGGGGCAGACTGCTCCGATCACAGATATATTTCAAGGATCACAATTAAAGACTTGCAATCTTTTAAGGCTGCCAGTTGTGGGACACTCGCAGTCAGACACACACAGATGGAGACAAAACACAAGCAAGACTTGTAAAAGACTTTGAATTAGAATTAGTAAATTAGTGTGTGTAGGGGTGGCTCTGTATGGGGTTCCAAACTGAAAATGGAATTTCGAATCCCAAATCGAAAATTTTCAAAACGAGAATTTGAAAACCAATCTCAAATCAAAATTTCGGTATTCCTAATTTTCGGGATTCACAAAATGTTTTCGATATCAGGATGGGTCGGGATTGAATTTTGGGTTTTGGGCTGAAATTTGAGTTCATCATAACATGATTTTGGCCCCATTTTCTAATTTCCTACCATATTTTCACATTCTTTCCATGAATTTTATAATACCTATGCAAAAGAGTTCATTCATTGCTATTTCAAAACAATACAAGGTTCTACAGAGTTCAATCCCACATCATGTTATAGACATGCTTCATCTACAGAGTGCAATACCAGAAGTCTCATCTCCGACATTCATACAGAATATCGAATAAAAATTCGAAATCCAAAATCAATCCCAAAATTGAAAGTTGAGATTTTAGAAAAATAACTTACATTGGAGAACAGCCCACGAGAAGAGGATCATTTCTACCACTTGGGTCGAGCTCCAATTCCGGCGATATGGCCGGAAGTTGGCCGGAAAACCCTGGGTCACCGTTTCTTAAATTTGAAGTTGAGGAAAATCGCCTACGAATTTATAGAAACTAACTTGGGGATTGGATAAAGGACGGTAAGAGCATTCTGGATGTGTCGTTTGAGAGCCTTTGGTGACCCGTGGACGACAGAGCTGTTGCGCCGGCACTCGGCAGTCGTCGGCTTGCTGTTTAATGGGGCTCCTGTTGCGGCTCAAAAGATGAGGAGGAGAGAGGATACGGGAGGAGAGATGGGTTTCTCCCACTTTTTACATCTTAATTCTTTTCTTATTCTTTTAATCTTTTCCGTATTTTTTTTAGGATGATTTTAAATGCGGTACTTAACTATAAATATTCTTTGATTAAAACCTTGTTGGTTTTCAATTTTTGATCTAAGCCCTTGAAATTAATGTGATAATTTATTTTTATGTACGTTACTATATTTTTTAAAATAAAAAATGGAAATTTATAGTTGTTTATATTAATGACATTTTAAATAAAAAACCATAATTTGTGGGATTAAAAATATTAAAATATAAACATACTATTATGTGTGTGTGTACAAACATGGGTACATTCATAAAAAATTAACCAACAAATTAGTGTATCAAAACATGGGTACATTCTTCAAAATCATAAAAAAAAATAATAATAAGATATTAGGCTTGATAAAATTAGTAAATTTATTTGATTAAACTTAACATGGATACATTCTCAAATCAAAGAAAAAAAAAATGTACCCATATAAGTTTAAAAATGGATTAGAAAAATAAATATTGAATATATTTTATATAAAAAAAATGGTAAATTTTACATATAACAAATTGGTATATTTAAGAATGAGTACATTTTAAGATTAAAAATTTGAAAAAAAATTACATGAATGGTACATATAATTAGCATGGGTACATTTAGCAAAATTAAAAATGGGTACAAATAAATAAAAAAATATGGGTACAAATACAAATAAAACTTTATAAAATATGGGCACAAAAAAAAATATATGGGTATAAATTAAAACTGAAAAGAAAATTGATAAAAATTAAGAAAAGGTTGGAAATTAAAAAATGGTACAAACTAAATATAAAAATATATGATAAAAAATTTAGCCATAAATATAAATATATTAATTGTAACGTTTTTAACATTAAGTGAATATATTTAGAAATAAAAAATATTTTATTATTGAAATAATTAATGATGTTATTAATACCAAGGACCTTGATAAAAAAATGAAAAGGAATAAGATCAAAGGAGTAGGAAAAAAAAGGATGAGAACCTAATTTCTCATTTTTTATATAGAATATACGATATAATCTATCACCAAAATTGATTTTGGTATGTGAGATGAGATGGAATACGTTTTAATGATAATTGTGACTAGAAGTAATATAATTCAAATTCGTATTTGATGATAATTGAATATAAAATTTTTCACTTACAAATTACAAATAAAAAAAAATACCATTAATTTTACTTTTAATACACATCTAAATAAAAAGAAACAAAATGAAAAGAAAAATAAATAAAATAATTTGAAATAGAAATGAAAAATAAAGGTAAACTGACAGAGCCCACCATGATTTGCTGGATTTTGCAATATGGCATCCATGATTTGCGGAGCCCACCGTCGCAAAGAAGAAGAATTTGGAAAGCTCAATCCTTGTCTTTTTCTTATATAAGTGTCGTTTTAATGAACCGAATGTTCCGATTCCAGCATCCAAAATACCCCAATGTGAATTTTTTTCATACTACAATTGGATTTTATCTTAAAATTATGAAGTTTTGGAGCATTGGTCACGCCATCAAGCTCCTTTGTGTTGGATTTCGTTAGAGATCGTAATTAATCAATCACCCATTTTGTGTCTCCCTCCAAAACATTAAATTGAAACTTGAACTCCGTAGCAAATAAGAGCCCAATTTGACAACCAAAATCTTCATCATTCGAGCATCAATGTTCTCTTAAATTCGTTGTGAGCAAACCACCATGAAATCTCCTTCACGTGCATCTCATAAAAATAGAACGATACAGAGAAGATTAGTGTGACTCCTAAGCTAGGATTACACGTATGAATCGCAAAATAGTTCCTCCTCCACTCTTTGATTCTCTCTTTTCACTGGCTAACAATATTTTACTCTACCTTTTCACTCCTAAGTAAGAAATAACATCTTTCTGAAAATTTCACATTTGACCTTAATTTATCTCTTTTGCACTATTTGACTGAACGACACAAATTTTGATTGTCTAAATATTTATATCAAACTACAAATAATATTGATATTATATATTAATAATGTAACTGGAATTGTAGTACCCAACATATCTATCTTGAAAAAAAATTTGTTGTCTATGAAGTGGCCTACTCGACCCTCTCTTGTACTCTTAAGTCTTGTCCATTTTGAGTTTGTGTAAATAGATCATTGTTAACAATTGGCATTCAGTATTGTGATTTAGTGGTATTCATCATCACTTGTAAGAAAAAAAAATTGGAGTGACGAGTTTGTGTAATCATTGTATTAAAGAAAAAAAAATTTTTAAAAAAAAAAATTTTGGTCGGACAAAAACACGAAAATGCCCTTAAAGCCCAGAGTGCCCCCACTACCCTACCCGCTGCCTGCAAGTTCTTTCCTCGCCTCTGTTTCCCTCGCTTTCTCCCTCTCAGACATTTGAGGACTCAAAACCTCTTTTAACCCTCTCCTTCTCACTCTCAAATGTCACCCTTTCTCACTCATACGCACGCCCAGTGATCTCTGAAGCACCAATTTCTCTTCCCTTTGGCTCTCTGCATCTCACCAGAGGTAAAAAGCCCCTGTTTTATTTTATTTTATTTTATTTTTTACTTTTTCCTCTGTAAATTTAATCCAATGGATTTTTCGTGTACCCTTGCAGTAATACAGGAAGAATTTTGTAGTATTTCTGGTTGTTGGATGATACTGGAATAATTATTGGGATTTTGAAGAATTTCTGGTTCGTATGATATATTTGCTAAAAGACCCAAAATTTTGAAGCAGAGCGGCCATGGAAAGGTGTTTGAAAAGAAAATCATATGATGAGTCAATGGAGTCGTCATCGTCTCCGAAGGAGAAGGACAAAAGCTCGAAACAAGCTTGCATCGAAATCAACTTGGAAGATCTTCCTGTTGATCCCTTGCTGCGCACTCGAATTTGGGATTAGCATCCAAATGTTCGAGTTCGAGAGCAAGTTCGAGGAGTACGTATACAAAAAGGTCATTTTCAGACTTCATACCAGGACTTCCCCCACAAGAATACTAGTGGGGGACCGAGAAGGTTTATATCTGCTTGGTTTATGAGTTTCCGACTGGTTGGAAGATAGTATAGTGAAAGATGCTTCATGTTGTCTATGCTGTTATCTGTTTAAGCTAAATACAGGAGAGCAAGCCCGCGGTGATTGCTTTGTTAGTAAAGGGTTTTGGAATTGGAAGAAGGAAAGGTTGCATGGTCATGTTGGAGGACGGAATAGCACCAAAAGAATGTAAAACTATATTGGGTGTATCAATTGTTTGTATGAGGTTTATTTTGCATCAAGGGCTTGTATATTGCGGAGACGATGAATATGAAGGTTCAAACAATGAAGGAGTTTTTCTTGGACTCTGGAATTACCAATGTGGTCGCCACGAAGAGTTAAAAGCTGTCACATTGAGAAATCCTCCATTAGGTCTGAAGTTGGCTTCACCTGATACTCAGAAGGACATCATAATTGCTTTTTCAATGGAAATATCAATGCAATCGTTAAAGATATTGGTGGTTCGCACTTTTCCATTCTTATCGATGAGCGTCATGACTTGTCTTCAATGAAGCAATGGACTATTGTAATACGTTTTGTGGATAAAGGTCAAGTGATTGAGCCTTTTTTATGCATTGTACAAGCCACTGATAATACTGCTGACTCACTTAAGGTGGCTATTGATGATTTCTTTTCTACCCATGGATTAAGCATGTCAAAGCTAGGGGACAAGTAATATGCTTGGTGAGTTGAATAGTATTAAGACACTTACAAATTACAATGAAGGAGAATGAGTGCATTTTACGTTCGTTACTTTACTCACGGCAGCGGGAGACACGAATTTTGCTCTATTTACGAGCTTGCCACCGGGCTGATTTCAGCCCAAATTTCGCTTTATTTACAAGATTGCCACTGGGCTTAAGAACGGGTTTTCAGTCTTTCGGTTGGATCCGGGCTTTTGACTCGGGGAGAGAGAGGGAAGGGGGCAGAAGGGTTGACGGGTTGGATGGAGAGGTTCGCCAGGATTTGGGGGAGAGGATTTTCGGCAGGGAGGTGCGGGTGGGTGTGCCTGTGGCTGATGCATCGGTCAGAGGGTTGTTGGTGGAGGAGAGGAGGGGGACAGAGTGATTGACAGATTGGAGAGAGATGGGAGCTACGGGTTTCGACTGAGAGAGAGAGATTTAGCTAGGTCATCTGCCAGGACCTATGGCATTTTCTCCAATTTTAGAGAGAGAGATGGACAGAGAGAGAGAGGAGAAAGCATGGCTGTGTGCATTTTTTGGGGTTAATGGGTTACCGCACAGGGTCGGTGAGGAGAGAATGGCAGAGGGAGGGAATGTTGTCATCCCCTTTTCATTCCCTCTTTTTCTCTCCCTACTCTATCTCTGTAACCATCCCTCCCTTTTCTCACTCTATAATTTCCCTCAAATCCCCCGTCGATTCTCTCTCTCGCCATTCTCAGTCTCGCCAGCCGCGAATCCTTACAGCTCCATGCTCCGCCTCCAGATTCGTCGAGATGAGAGCCCCAAGACCGTCGCCTGCACCACCGTCTCAGAAAAGTGAGCCAAAATCTCGCGAGAATCAGGCTGCACACGAGCGGATCTAAAGGCCAAACCTCCGATCTTGAAGGTAAAAATTTCTCATCCTCTCTCTTCGATTTCATATATGTTGTTAGATTAAAAGGGAAAATATGAGAACTAACTCAAGCAAATGTTCTGGATGTAAGCTAAAAGATCAATTTAACTTTTCTTCCCTGTCAATTTAGTGCTTTTTTCTTTTCTTATTACTTTTAGGAGTTAATTTTTGAGATATATTATGACTAACAAATTTACTGTTGCCTCTGTCATCTTTTTTGCTGAAGATTTCTTTTTTGAAAACTGTTGCCGTGACAAAATAAATTTACAAATTGCTAATTTTTCTGTTTTGTATAAAAAAAAAATCTTTGTTCACTCTACCTGAATAGGTACACTTGACTGAGAAGGAAAGTCTTTTCATATTAAATCCATGTTAGCCTGGCCGCTGCCGCCCTGGAACCATCGCTCTTCGGTAAGTTTTCAACATAGTATAGTTCAAATCCTCTTAATCATGTTCTTGAATTTTACTATATGTATCATGTTCTTTGCATTTCATTATTTGAACTCTGTTATTTGAATTTGGTTACCTAAATCGTGCCTAATATTTGATGCGGCCAGTTGCTTTGTATGCCTGGCTGGTGTGATTTGGGAGTGTTTTTAGTCAATGGGAGACATAGGACAAAGGTGTGGGCAGCGAAGTCAAGTGGGATTAGGAATTTAGGATAGTAGAATTTTTGCTAATTTATGGGATTAGAAGTCTTCCTTTATTTTTGTCTTGGTGTGATCAATTGTAACCAAGAAGTTTCATTAAAATTGAGGTAGTGAACCAACTAATTTTCAACTGTTGTTTATCTACAGTCTTCTCCATTCTCTTGGTCTTGGACCAAGCATGAAATCCCAAGCACTATATCACCATAAAGCAAGCAAGCTGAAAAGCAATCCAACAAACCCTTTTTCCAGAAGCACTTAACAGAACCTTTCTATGGGTTAATTGTTGTTTCAATTATACCAGATTGAAAACGAGTATGGAACCATCAAGCATACGGGGCCGTTGTCCAAACCTATATTAAGTGGGCAGCAAGCATGACTGTTTGTCTCTAAATACAGGGTGCCCTGGGTCATGTGGCAACAAAAAGATGCTCCTGCATCCGTAGTGAGGCTTTTGTAGTCAGTTTTCATTTGCATTGTATTGACTTTGACCTTTTTGATCAAAGTCCAATAGCAATAGGTGCAGTAATTCTCAAACCCTAATTTTAACTGTTTGGATCAATTGCGTTTTTTTTAAAAAAAAAAAATTGCGTTGCTTCTACTAGCTATATATTGATGGGTTTCGGAGTGTTTTTTGTTTTGTGACTGGATTTTGCTGTGTCGGATTAGTTTGGTTTGCTAACTTATGTTATTTTTTATGGGTTTGGTTAACATGGTTTTCATTCCTTTTCAGATTTGTTTCGACACACACTACTCGAAATTTGCAGGATGCTATGGTGATATTTTCTACGATCTAAACAAATTAACTATTTAATGTTAGTAGTTTGTGTTATATAAAGCTACGCATGTTAGGAGTAAAGTAATTTATTATTTGTTCTTAGCCCTTGGTTTATAAATCCCAACTTTAAAATTCCAAGTAGATGTGTCTGTTAATCGATTGCATTTGGGATGGAAATGGTTTTGAATGATTTGGATTTTCATTAATTTTAATTCATCTGCTAATCATAGTTTCATGTATTAGATAGTTGCTTTGCTCTCACAAATTTTGTTGGTAGGGGTTCAGCAAAGCTTTCTAGGGCTAAATCTTCAGTTTGCTGTTGGGTATGTTTACTTTATGCTTTTGTTTTTTGTTTTTTGTGTTTTTGTTTTTGTCTGGAGTAAATATGCTTAAGATGTCACATGATTAAAGGTGGAGAAATCACCGTCCCTTTTTTCGTAGAAATTTGTAATTTTTTTTAAAAATATGTGTGGGTTGCTGAAACTAATTATTTGATCAGTGTGATTTTTTGTAATTGGGAATTTAGGACCTTGGTAACTTGATTGAATAGGAATTTTGTGATTAGGAATTTGTGGGTTTACCTCCGAATTTAATCCCTTTCTTAAGAGGGATCTAGCCGTAACACACAGCAGCAATGGGGGAAGAGAAGCGGCACCAGGTTCGGCGATCAATCTGGAGAGGAAGAGGTCAATTTTGAGCACAAGTCCAATCCCCGGCCCAATTCTGTATGATCATCTAATTTCATGTTTCCTTTCTATTCTGATTCCAAAAGTATGTTTCGGAATGATTAGGGTTTCAGTTTTTGTTTTAATTTTTGAGCACAAGTCCAATCCCCGGCCCAATTCTGTATGATCATCTAATTTCATGTTTCCTTTCTATTCTGATTCCAAAAGTATGTTTCGGAATGATTAGGCTTTCAGTTTTTGTTTTAATCTTAGTTGAAGGAAGATATAGGGTGTGGTTTTGTTAATGGCGGTGGATGATTTGGATGAAAGTATGTATCCTCGGGATTTTTTTGCTTGCAGTTGTTTAGGCCAGGACTTGGTGCGATGGCAAGTGCTTTCGCCCATGAGCGGTAGGTCTCGGGTTCGAGACTTGGGAGCAGCCTCTCCATAAATGGGGGTAAGGCTAGCCGACATTCACCTCTCTCAGACCCTACGTAAAGCGGGAGCCTTGTGCACTGGGTACGACCTTTAGTTGTTTAGGCCAGGACTGAAGAAGTTTTGTGGAATGAGATTCTTATATCGAATTGTCTCTCTGTTTATGGCAGGTAATAAAGGTGGTCCAACTAGTAGCTGATAAAATGTCTTTATATATATGCTTTTGTTGATTTCTGCTGCGATAATGAGGGAATCTAGAGGATCAAGGCCAGTCAATCTGAGGTTTGTACTACTCTATCCCTTTCTTTCTCTCTTTCTGTGAATTTCTTGAAATTGACGACGCACGTTCTGATTCTTGCTGTGTTTGGGAGCGGAGAAAGCTCTGGATTAGCTTTGATCACTTGAATTTTGTCTTATTTAGTTCAGCACAGTCGGACTACATAATCCTACCATTGGGCTATTTCTATAGAGGGTTTATGTTGACTTTTGTTGGCCTGTTGACAGTCTGGTAGGTCTATCATATTGATGGAACTAAATTGTGAGTTAGTTATGGTTTAGATTGTTGAATTTTGAATTCGCAATTCCCTTTGAAACTGTCACAAGCGATGTGTCTGTTGTGGCTACAGGAATCAAAAGCGAGTGAAAGGTAAAGCTTTTCTCTCCAAGCATTCATCGCCAGAAATTGTAGTACCTCTTTTAAATTCAAATTTTTATTTATTTGCAGAATTGTATAATCCTTTTGAAGCAGTGGGGAGCCGCGGGTTCGCTCTCTCTCTCTCCCTCGTATTTGGGTTTTTCTCCTATTTCTCTTTTTTGTTGATCTAATTTGTGGTGAAGTTGTTGAGTTTGCTTGAATTGGAACGTGGGTTTAATTGAGTTTCCTTTTGTTTGTCAGTTCGATTTTGGTAGGATTGGCATGTGGTTGTTCACGCCTTTACGGCCACTTTGTGTCTGGCAAAGGTAATAATATTACTCTTCGTTCCATAAGCTTCGTTTTTAATGCCCAGAAAAATTTGGAATTGAGAACATGATGGGGTTTTAGGCAATACCTAAGTTCTATAATTCTCCCCGTTTGTTGTTATTAGTAATTTCTTCGATCATGTTAGTTTGATAGTGTTTTGCTGCCCAGAATTTTTTTTGAATTTAAAATATCATGGGATTGGGGTTTTAAAATTTTAACAACAATTGATATGAATTTTGGTGAATTTTGATGCTCAATGGACTTTGTTAACGGCTTCTAACTTTGTTATGCTTTGGAATATTGGTGGGTTTTCATCAAATTTTGCTTATATCTTTGTGCGGTGTGTCTGTTGTATTATCTGGTCATAGATACCTTCGTTAAGTAATTTGAGAAGCATGGGGAGATAATAGACTAATCAAAGAGATGCATGTGATCAACGATAAATAGGTAAGCATCATCCTCTTCCTTGTTTTGTTATGATTGGTTGTATAGAGGATTGAGAAAAAAGTTGAAGACAATTCCACGCTTTTGAGTTATAGCAATTAGTAAATATAAAATGACATTGATTAGTTCATTGAAGTTTTGAATCCTTCGTTAGTTTATCCGTGGTGCGTGCTTGAGAATGAAAGCAATGGACATTATATGGAATTGATGTTCCTTTTAATGTCAGTAAAGAAAGGAATTGTTCCTTTATTAGCAATTATATGAAGTAGGCATATTATGCAATACAATGTCTACAATCGACTATTTTACTTTTTGTACAAGTACAACTTTTGATCGAAAGCCACAAAAACTACCTAAAGGCCAAAGAACCGTGTGTTAGAAGAACAGAATATGGTGTAAAGCTTAAATTTTGGGCACTTCAATATATGTTTTATTTTTCAATTACAATAACTTGCATGAAAATTCAATTGGGTTTGTTCTGGTCTCCAAAAATTTTGCTTTGTTTGGTTACTGATTAATTTATGTGGTGGGAGTTTAGTTTCTGCTTTTCTGCCTACGTATTTATGATTCAAAATGGACTGTTCAATTACATATTTGTAATCGAAAAGCTCGAAGGAGAGGTGAATTATCTTACCGACACTGTTCATTTATCTATTCCTTTGTTCATTCATGATTATGTAGAATTTTTGAGGTTAAATGTGTCATATTCATGTAGTTAAGGCTGGTGCATTCAAGTCTCGCAGTATCGCGCAGGCCAATTTACTAGTGTAATCGAAAATCGAAATCAAAACACGGAGATTTTTACGGTTTTAAAAGGATTTCGGTTTGAATCTGAACCGTAGGATGAAAAAACAGTTTGGTTTTGCTTTTGAACATCTGAAATCAAGCCGAAACTGAATCACATTGCCAAGATACCTGAACGAAAAGGCCCCTACTATTACTATTACATTGCCGAAACTAAATCAAGCCGAAACTGAATCACATTGCCAAGATATCTGAAATCTACACAGTTTGTGTCGTTGATGCCGAGACAGGTGCTCATGTGGGTCTGCCTCTAGTTGTTACAACATCCTAGTTTGTAAATGGTTTGAAACCGAAATTAAAACCGTTTGAAACCGAACTAAATCGCAACCAAATGGTTTGGTTTTATCTTGATTGGTTCAAGCTTTAAATTCACACCGAACTGAACTGGCAAAAAATTCAGTTTCACTTTAAAACCGCACAGAACCAAACCGTGTCCATCCCTAGTCTGCATTGGAGGAAAACTGGGGAAAACCTCCCGGTAACCTCAACTCTGATGGAGAAAATGTATTGGAGATTGAAGATTGTGAATTCTTGTTTTTGTTTTTCTCCATAAGATTTCCATACAAAATTTCTATACGATTTTTGCCTTCTCTTGTAATTTCATTATGACTACATACTACAAAAATATCTCATAATTCAATGGTACAAATTCTAGGTGACCCTCCGACAGCCACGGAAACGACAACCCACTTCTGAGATCGGAAGCTAGCGTATGGAGACGGCGTGTCGGAGATTGTCTTGACGGCGGATTCGAGCTGTGGCATCTGAATCTTCTTGAAACCCGTATCTGGCTGACTTGCAGAGCCACCATCGCAAAGAAGAAAATCTGAAAAGCTCAAACCTTATCTTTTTCTCCTATAACGATGTTGTTTTAGTGAATTGCTTTAAGTTTGTGTACTTTTAAGTTTTATGTAGTATGTATACTTTTTTATCATTATTATTGTTTTTGGTCAAATAATAAATTTTGTTAGATTAGTCATTGATGGGTGATTAGCTATCAATAAGTTTGGACTCATACCGTCATGCAAAAGTTTAACATTTTTCTACCATTATGATAAAGTGGTTAATCACACCGATGAATGATTAGTCACAGATGAATTCGGACTCAATCTATCATACAAAGATTTAAGCGCCTATTTGGTATTCTATTTGAAAATTTTTATTATTTCTCAAAACATTTCTTAAGAACATTTCTTGAAAACAATTTTCTTTAAGACTCAAAAACTTGATTGGTTTGCGATTTAAAATTTTTAAATCTTATGACTTAAACTAGACAAAGAGATTTAAAAATAGGGGTCGCAGAAGAGGAAGAAAAAGGAGAGAGAAGGAAAGAAAGTACGAGAGGAGTGAAGGAAAGAGAAAGAAGAGAGAGGATTGGACGAGATAGTGAGGAAGAGGAGTGAGAGAAAGAATCGAGAGAATAAAAAGAGCAGATTGGAGGAGAGACGAAAAAGGTTAAAAAAAAAGAGAGAAAGAAGAAAAGAGAGAGAGATAGGTTTGGAGTGAGAGAGGAGGAGGGAGAAAAAAGAAATGAGTGAGTTTAAGTTTAAAAACTCTAAAAACTCACTTTTTATGTTTTTAGAGAATATACTATATTTTTGAGTTAGTCTTGAGTTCAGTTTTTGAAAATAGTCCTACCAAACAAGTTTTTAAGGCATAAAATTTGAAAATTGTTTTTTAGTTTAAAAAGTTGTATTCAAATAAAGTACCAAACATACCGTAACATTTTTTATTATTGTGATAAAGAAGCACTTGCTACCCATGCGAGCTGGTTGGATATGAATCAGGAGTCTCTCCTGAGCACTTCCCTAGGGATCCCGCAATCATACCCGTTCATCGTATATCGTGCGGTCAGAAATGATTTAAAATTAAAATTTTAAAATTCAAATATGAATAGTACCTAACGAAAACTGACCGCACGATATAAAATGAACGGATAAGATTGCGGGATCCCTAGGGAAGTGCTCAGAAGAGACTCCTGATTCGTTGGATATATACAAAAGGGTCCTTTCAGCCTTGGTGCCAGACAAAGAAAACATGGAAAGTAAAGAAGAGAAAAAAGAAAAAAAAAAAAGGAAAAGAAGGTGATGGTGGAATTGCAGAAAGAAATGAAGGAAAAGGAAAGGGGGAGTCCACGTGAAGAAAAGGCAGAAGAAAGACGAAAGAAAACAAAGAGAAAAAAAGATGAATGAGGATCTTCGTCGAATTCTCCTTGTAAAAATTTTAAAGATTATTTAATCATATCTATTTATCGTATATATGTTAGAAATTATTTAAATTTTTGTATTTAAGCTTGAATATAAACAGTACTTAACAAAAATTAATCGCGCAATATATTATAAACGAATATAATTAAAGAATTCTTAAAATTCTTAGAAAAAAAATTCCGACCAGGATCTTCTTTCAAAGTAAAAGTTGAGACAGAAAAGAAAAAGAAAGAGGTCAAAGAAAGAGAAAAAACAAAGAAAATGGTGGTGCCTGACATGCAATACAGAAGTAGAAAAGTGATGAGATTGTGGCAGACAAATAAAAAAAATGTGAAGAAAAAGTGGAAGAAAATGAAAAAAGTGTTGTTTGCTATCTCTACGGCTGTGGGCTCTTTTTTGGCTGCGAACGTTAATTTGGGTGTGTCCCGGTCGGGGGGATCTGGTGGGGTGGACCATATTTCGCGGTGGTGTGCTCCTTCCTCTCCTCTTATCAAGATAAATGTTGATGCCAGTTGGTCTAAGGTCTCTAAGATGGGATTTGCTGGGGTGGTTATTCGGGCTGCGGAGGGGAGGTTTGTTGCCGCTGCAAGGTACCCTATTTCTGCTCCCTCAGCTGCTGCAGTTGAGGCTCTTGCTTTGCTTCATGGCTGTGAATTGGGTGCAGCTTTGGGTATCCATGCTCTGATTATTGAATCTGATTCTCTTGATGTTGTTAATTGTCTTTCTGATTCTCTTGAGATGGGCAGTTGGGAGTCTTTCCCTGTGTTAGCTCGGGTCAAGCAGCTTGGGGAGGCTTTCCAGTTCTCTCGCTGGTCTTGGATTCCTCGATCAGCAAATAGTGTGGCGCATGAGCTGGCGTCGGTTGGTTTTCCGAAGATGAGTGAGTTTGTCTGGGTCGAGAGGCCTCCATCTTCGTTGGTCTTTGTCTTGAACAATAACGGGCTCCCGTGTCCTCATTGACTCCTATTGGTGGTGTTTGGGGTGACGTCTCCACTTGGTGGCGATGTCTCTATTGTATCCCCGTTCACTACTTGTTTTCCTGATCTTTGTTTGCCTCTCTGTAGGCTTTCTTGTTCTTTGGCTTTTTTTCCTTGCTGATAAAAAAAATGAAAAAAGGAATGGAATGAAAGTGGGGAGTGTGGAGATTAGGATGTTCCTCGAAATGAGGGTTTCGTCTATCCACCGGAGGGGTTCCGTCTAGATCTCTGGAAGGGTTTCGCCTGTCCAGGCTCTCCCGTCTCGTGTTGGGGCTGTGATTCTGGATTCTTGGTACCCCTGTTAGGTGAGTAGTTGGGAGGTGAGTTCAGGAGGTCTGGAAGTGTGAATTTAGGGGATCTTTGGCGGGATCTAGGGTTTCCAGGGGGTAGGCGGAGATCTCAAGGGGGTTCGTCTGCCTCGGATCTGGTCCTTCCGGTGCTGGGTCGGTGAATCTCGGTATCCTTGTTCGGCGAGCATGTGGGTGGAACGGCGGAGACATCGAGGGGGTTTGTCTGCTTCGGCTCTGCTTCTTCTCGTGGTGGGCGGTGTATCTCGGGTCCTTGCTCGGTGAGCAGGTGGGAGGAGAGCTCAGGCATTTGGGAAATAGATTGTTAGGATTTTCGGGCGGGATCTAGGGCTATCAGGGTATTGGTGGGTCTAGCTCTGGGGGGTGCTCCTAGTCTCTGGTGTTCGGGATTGGACTCCTGGTGGGGGATTGGCCTCGCCCGGGAAAGAAGGGGAATGTGTGATCATGGGTGAGGATAAACCCAAGAAGGACCTAGAGGATCTGGGCTCTTGGTTTGGGGCAAAGCTGAAACTGTCCGAGAAAGAGCTTGGCGGAATATGTATTCAGAGGAAAGATGTAGAGGGTGCTCTAGTGGGACTCCAATACACTCTGATTGCAGAAGTTCTTACCTCGAAAGAGGTAAATGGGGAAGTTTTCATAGATTGTTTCATGTCTCTGTGGCGAGGGAGGGAAGGCGTTTCTATCAGGGACATTGGTGACCGGAGATTCCTAACGAGATTTGCCGGTCAAAGGGATCTTCAACGAGTGGTAGATGCAGATCAACCGTGGCACTTTAAAAATGATATAGTCATGGTTGCGGAGTGGACGAACAGTGGGCTCAACAGATGGGCTTCTCTCTCATCAGGAACGTTCTGGGTGCAGATTCATAATGTTCCTGTTCTAAGCATGACTCAAGCGGGGGCGGAATCCATTGGAGGCCTAATCGGGACGGTTAAATCGGTGGATAAATCCGGCAGTAGAGACTGCATTTGAAGATTTCTTCGTGTAAAAATTCTTTTCAATGTATGTGAATCCCTTATGCGAGGTACTTTTGTTAATTTCCCTGATGAAGGCAGAGTGTGGGTTGATTTTAAATACGAAGGGCTTCCTAAATACTGCCTCATATGTGGTCTATTGGGACATGCTACTCGTGTGTGCAAAGGCTCCCAGGAGCTAGGGATGATTGAAGGGGAAACCTCTGAAGAGTTGGGGGAGAGGTTTGTGTTTAAGGGATTGGATGCATTTACGGATCTGAGGGGTAAATTATTAGGCGCGGGGGGCAGTACTAGGACTCCTCGAGGGTCTAGAAAAGGACGAAAGGATACGGGAAGATGGAAAGACGATCGTAATGAGGAACAAGATGGAGGAAAACGATCGGGCCGATCATCCACAA